TGAAGGGCATCTGGCAACTCAGAGGAGAAAAGTATGTTCAGTAGTATTTTTTTCTGTGTCAGAATTATGAAGAACAGTGTGTGGGGAGTTTCTCTCCCTTCCTGCTTATTTTATTATTTTGTAGAATCAGTTCAGAGTTCTCCATGAAAGATGACTTGTTACAATCTCACATCTTCATATCCATAGACCTGACCTTTAGTAACATGATGTATAGTAAGTGATTTATATGTTGCTTGATTTCCACAGTTGATAGAGCCTTATTCTTGGCGCAGTGCATACTAGTAATCTTACAAATCACAGCTGAGAGTTTGCACTTTTTATAGGCATTTCCTCTTGAAAAATTTTGGAGTAGTTACTTGTTGCCTTGCTTCATCTGCTAGCACACCTGAGGTATATAAGCAAACAGATTCTCAGTTCTGCTGCAAAGTCTAAGATGCAGTGATTTATCAATACTGCATACTGGAAATACCAAAGCAATTCAGTAAGGATACCAGACCCTGATGAAAATAACCCTTACATTTTTTACCTTGTTATTTATATACCTATGTTGACTATAGATAAAACTTTGTTACTCTTTCTAGCATTTTTGGCTGCAGTATATTTTGCCAGCTCAGAATTAATCTTTGGTGCACACTCTGCAGAGCATGCTGGAGATTGTTATCTTCATTTCATCAATAAAGGGACAGTTGGAGGTCCTGATGTCAGTGAAGAAGAGGAAACAGGCTGCTTTAGTCTGATTTTGTGTGAACAGCTTTTGAGAGAAACAAGACATTGCTGCTGTTTGCATGTATCAAGGAGATAACACTTGGCTGAGTGAGTAGATGGTTTCCCTTTTGTCCATCACGTATCGTTTAAAATTTTTACCCATTGTCTGGCAGGGATCCTTCCTCCCAGTTTGCTGGACTCTGACCCCTCTCTCTTGTTGATCAACTAGTTTGAAAAATGAATTGACGCACCCTTGGTGTCACACATCTAATGTCATTACTCTAAAGAAAGGATATGCATTCCAAACACCAGGGAAGTCCACATGCATACAGCATAGAGTTGATCTGCACTTTCACTGTAGCTTCGGTACATAGCACACTTTGCAATCACAGTTTCACCGGAGTGAGGAAGCCACCACTAGTTCAGTCAGCAGATGAGCTCAAAATTGTCCTTTCAAGTATGGAGACCTGAGAAAGACTTTCTTTTCAGTGTCAGTTTTGGAGTACAGGTAAGTTATTACTGAATGAAGTCCCATGTTTGAAGCAGTGAAAATACTGTTTGTTTTTGATTATTTGTTTTTAATTAAATCACAAGCAATAATGTTGTATAGGGGCTGGAAGACCAAGTTTACAACTGTCACATTGTGAACGAATGGTCTGAGATTTTACCAGCTTACACAATACAGTATTTTGTTAGTGCTAGAGCCAAAATAAGCATACTACTTGTCTTATCTATGCCTTTTCATAATGTTATCAAGATTGCAGCAATTCGTTGTCTGGCATTTGTAAATCTGCCTGCCAAACACAGTGTTCATTGAGTACTCAGTCTTGTGCATAGCTACAAGGAGAAATAGTTCTGGTGGCTCTGGTCAGCCATCAGTATCTGGCTGGTGGTGAAGGCACTGCAGTATTTCTGCTGAGGTTTAGTCTTTGGAGAGGCCTGAGTGTTTCATACATGAAAGGTCTTGAACATATACATTTATAATATCTCAGCTCTGTGTTTATTTGTCTCTAGTTCTATCAACTGACATTTCTTTGTTGTGTCATTAGTTTGACTGTGTTGGCAGTATGCTGTTGTATTTGTGGCATCTAGCATGCATTTTCATGACTATTTATAACATCGGTAAGTTTTGTGGTACAGTAAGGAGTGGAAGATTGTGATCTCTTCCTCAGTGGACAGTAGTAGATAGGAAGTAGTGTCTTTCATAATGAAATAATATAAATAAAGTAATTAAAGGTGATTAACAAGAGAAGAATACAGTTAAATATGCTGATTTTTAAAAATGGGTAATGTTCTTCAAATGCCATCAGCATTTTGAATTATAAATGTATTTTAAATGCACAAACATGAAGAAATTGAAGAATTTTCATGCAAACAGCTTTCGCCTCATGGATTTCATGGTATTCCCTGGTTGAATGAAAGTGTCTGTTATGCATTGTTCTGATTCTGGACTTTTTCTAATCTTCAGCTGAGAGATTGTGAAAATACTTATGAAGTCTGTTTAGTTTTCAGTACATGTAAGACACTATAGCTTCAGATCCTTTCTTCAAGAGACACGATAAAAACAGCCTCATTTAATATTTGCTGTGAAAAAACACTTGGCATCACTACAATGAATTGAATTTTTCCATGTCTTTTGCAATGAAAAGAAAGCAGTAAGAATGTGAAAAGCTAGCAGCAGGATGCTCTGAGGTCAAACAAAATAGACTAGCATAGAATATTTTACTCAAGCTGCTCATGAAATATTAGTAAGGCTTTTGTATAGCACAATTTTGCAGATTTTAATCAACATATTAGTTGGTTGCCAGCCTTCAGAAGCCTTACCTGTCCCTAATGCCTAGTTAAAGGTCAGAGGGGGCATGATTCATCCATGAGGTGTGTTGTCATCGCCCCATCTGGGCAGGAGAGTCCCACCTGCGGTGTCCTAATTTCCAGACAGAGGCACGATTGGCTACATCGGCTCCCTGCCTTGCCAGGGATTGGCCAAGCCAGTCACCTCCTCTCTCTCATCTTGCTGAGCACCCGTGCTCCTGAGCTGCATCTCATCCACGCTGACCTCTGAGGGACCGGAGGATGCCCACACATCAGCGCTTGATTGATAAGGTGTGTTGCTGGGGATGTGGTAGACAGGGTGCACACCAACTGGTCAGGGTTCTTCTCAGCGGCTAAAGGCTACGGCTTACCAGGAATGTTTAGGAGAAAAGAAAGGAGAAAAATACTCATAAAAGAATCAGTTGGAAAGGACATATGGGACCAAGTCTTGAAGTGCTGGCGGTATAGATGTGTCAGAACTGTTGTTTTTTTTCAAATGACACAAAAAGAATTTATCTTATTAGTGAAATCCTCTATGTTTAAGGGCTTTTAAAACAACTTTTGTTTCAGTGCAGAAGTTTGCCCAAGGCAAAACCACCAAAGCGTCTCTTCCCAGGTCCACTAGATTTTGAATGCAGTAGCAAACTAAATACCACTCAGATTTAATTGTTGACCTGAAGTGATATTCAACTAAATGAAGACGAGGATTCTTAATGTAGCATCTCTCAAATGCTGCAGAGAGGAGAGTCGTACAGGCTGATGGGAAGATGAAACTGTATCTGTGATTTTAAAAAGAATTAGAATTTTTCCATGTTATGAAGGCAACTCAGATAAGAATATTCAGATGGAATCGACCATGTATACCTGAAAGAACCAGTTATTTTTTCTCATTAAGATAGTTAGAATCTTGAAAAATTTTTTTTCCTTGAATTCCATGCTTTTATTTAATAAATAATTACCATCCACTTTATTATTATTTTTTTTTTTAGCATTTTTCTCTTTAAAATATGTACATTTTTGTTGGAAGATACCATAACTTCATTGAATAGGTACTGGAATTCAAGTCTGGACTTGGAATTTTGTAAAATGCTAACATCTCTTCCTCATCTCATTCTCAGTTCCAAAAGATGATATCATGAGACTTTTAGGGTAGCCCTCTAATTCTTTACACAGACAGCTAATGCAAAGAGAAGACAAGTCAGCCATTTTTCATCTGCTTTTGTTTCTGGATGTATTCTTACCAGAAAAAGGAGAAAGAAGAGGTTTCAGAAGCTTCCTTTCAAGGAAGAGTGTAGCTCTGGATTTTTCCAATCCCAGCTAAGAACTCTCTGCTTTGAAGTAGAACATCTAGTTAAAAACAGATTTTTTCCATCTTAAGCATGAGTCAGAGAAAGATTTCAACAACACGTACTCTAGCTCATATTAAATCACTGTTTACCACATCTATTAATATAATAGCACCTACGTACTGTACTTAAAATTTAATTAGAGGTGGACTATGTTAAAATAGTTGCAAGAAATTGGACAGCCGCACCCAGCAGACTGCGATACCAGGAAAAAATGCTTACAAGGGTCCTATTTAAATGATATTTTCTGGAGAACTTAGGGAGGGGTATGCTCCATCTGCTTTAAAGACATGATAACCAGCATATATAACTTTCCTGATTGCTGCACTTATTGATTGTGACACCATGCAAACCTTTATCGTCTTCTTGTAGGAAATCTTTCAAAGCTTCAGTCTGTTGATTCACAGGCTTTTTAAAAATTAAGTTCACTTCAGAGATAAGCACAAAAATAAAATTTGTTTTGATGATTTCCACCCACGCTCTTCCTGGTTATTCTGTTCTTTGTTTGAGTTAGCTCATACAACACCAAATGATCTTATGTGTTCATGCACGAGTTAAGATGCACAGGAAGATGTTACGAATTGGCTACATCTCATACATTGTGTTTGAAATGCTTCCAAAGAACTGTAAGGTCTTATGTTAAACCCTTCAGGAAACAATTATTTTGGAAAACTGAGAGTTCTACATGGCATTTAACTGTAGATTTCTTGGCTGTTGTTTGAAATGGGAATAGGCAAAGCAGTCAAAATAGAGCTTGTTAGTCATGGTTATCGCTGCAAAAAACAGCTTGAGAGAACAAGACTTAAATTTTAATTCTTGTATGAAGATCTGGGCTAAATCTGCCAGCTCAACAATGTGGAAGTTTGTGTAAGTCCTTTTTGACTCTTAAGCCATAATGCAGTTACGGATTGCTGTCATGTGACCAGAGAATTTAAGGTTCAGTTAATAATTCAGTGTTTTAAAATGAAAGCACTCATTCATTTATTGCACTGTTTTGTCAAGGTCTACATGTACTTAATTTATTTTCTTCCAAGTATATGAATGCAACAAAGCCAAACTACCTAGGTTTCTTCTTCTTCTTACTTTGGAGAAGGGCAGGTATTTGTTAGCAACTACTAAAAAGCTGCTGCTATAATCTTTTCTTCTTTTCCACAGATGAGGAGACGCTTCTGCTTAGTTTTTTTGTTCTGTGGGATATTTCTGCCCAGAATCTTTGGTTTTCCACATGCAAATACTTCAATTGATTGTGACTCTCTGTTACCAAACTATGAAGATGAACCACAGACATCTCCACCACCATATATTATTGCTGTATCTTTTGATAGCTTTGAACCAGGAAATGAAATACAAGGTAAAATAGTCTGAATGACCTAAAATCTTTGTGTCTTCTAGAACTACCAATCTTAACCAGGATTGCCCCATTTCTCTCTTGATGTATCTAATTATTTTTTTATTTCAATCTTATTCATCTGTATTTGAGATGTTTCTTTTTTTTAATGTTTCATGTATATATATGTTTTCACATTTATATAATTAAAACTATATTCTCAATTTTTTTCTTTTCCCTCTCTGATAACTGTATTTTTACTTCACGTTGTAAGTTTTGTGACAGAATTAAAATCCTATGAGACAGCTGGTCAAACTGGACTAATAAATTGTTGCTGTCTAACATTCTGTTTGGGCATTTGCAGTTGTATCAGCTGTGTGCAATGCAAAGAGATCCTAGGGGTGACGGTCATGCTGTGAACTTACAAGAAAATAAAAACTCAGGATACTGTCTATGACAACTCAAGAGTGAAATGCTTTGAGTCATGCTTGTAAGAGTCACATCCCAGATTTTATCAAGTTGCAGGAGGTGGGGCTATTTTGGCTTTTTATCTTCCTAATCTGAGTTACTCTCTGGAGAGCCTTATTTCTCCACACTATGCTGCCATCTCATGGTGCTGTCATGCTTTAGTGACGTGAGAGTGCTTCTTTAATCATTTGGTATAACAAATACAGAGGCAGAAGTGAGTTATAATGTATCTCATTTTCATTGTTGGATCTCTGTAAGCATTGTTCATAGCAGTTGCTCTGCTGGGCTTCTGTTTTGCCTGATCTCTGTACACAGACAGGTGTCTATGGCAAATGATAGCTAGGGAGAGGAATGGAGGACTAGAGTCCTATTATAATTCTCATTCTTGGAAAAATACATTTGAATAACTCCTTTAAGAATAGGATTGCTGTTTGATGACTGAGATCTGTTTCTAAAACACTGTTGCCAACAGAATAGTGGATGGACTTTAAATGTATGCAGACTGTTCTGTGAGGTTATACTAGATCTATTGAAACTAAAATATTAAATCCCAAATGCTACTAGTTTTGATGTGTGGTTAGACAAAAAAAAAAAAAAAAAGGCTAAAAACACTTTAGCAGCACATAATTAAGTTTTTTACTCACAAGGTGGTGACGCACTGGAACAGGTTGCCCAGAGAGGTTGTGGATGCCCCATCCCTGAAGGCATTCAAGGCCAGCCTGGATGTGGCTCTGGGCAACCTGGTGGTTGGGAACCCTGCCCACAGCAGGAGGGTTGAAACTAGATGATCCTTAAGGTCCTTTTCAACCCAAGCCATCGTATGATTCTATTGCATCAAGTTGTAAGCATCCCATACTTATTTTCAGTAGGCTGCCCTTCCAATGAGTGTATTGCTCCTATTGCACCCATGACAGGCCATATGGCAAAACGTACAGTTGTATCTGTGCTTCCTTTAAAGTGTTGGGTGCCATCCCACCTATGCAGTGAGTTAGGACTGAAATTGATGGCAAATTAAACGGCTAATTATACAGGTGTTTTGAAATGTTGAATTGTTTAGATATGATTGATTTCTGCTTTGACTGTCATTCCCAGTTTATCTATTCTTATCTACTGACACTCATTTTTAAGGAGTACCACGCATCTACATAGTAAAAGGATTGTTCTGATTTTATTTGTGAAAGTGCCTCATACTGGCATTATCTGAGCACGTTTATGATACGTCATAGCAATTCTGATATTGCTTCTTAAAACTTAGTTTCAGTTTGGATACTCATAATGTGGAACTGCCCTTTTCTGCAGTTTCTGTGTTTTCATTTCAGTTCCTTCAGCAGTAAAATTGTGTGTAATTATTGATTTTTCATTTTGAACTAGGAGAGACAAATTGTTTAGCTTTCATTTTTTCCAGTTTTAATACATCAAAAAAGAAGGTTTTGCAATTCAAACTAGGCAAACATTTTTTTGTTTGTTTTGTTTTTTAAAAGAGATAGAAAAAATGCAATGCTCTTTCTCAATGTTGACTTTTGTGAGCTTAATTAAACAGAAAATAAATAACATTCTAGTCATCAGGACCATCATTGTGGTACACAGGGGAGCAAATCAAATTAATAAGAAAGGTCTGGTCATTTAGTAGGGCAGAATTACTTTTTAAAATTGTTGGTAGTTTTCCCATTACTTTCTAATACACTTAGTTACACTCAAATGCTTCTTCAAACTTCTTTCTTTCCCTTTGTTGTCAGTCTTGACAATCAACAAGTACTGTAATAAGTCTTAATTTTTTTTTTAAGAATTGTAAAAGATTTTAACTTTTAAGAAGAAGTTAACTTCTGTACATTCGGTCATGTTCTGGAGGGTGGGGGAAATTAAATGTTAAGCATTAAAGTGGTTTTGATAATATATGAAACTTAAATTTCTCAAACTGTCTTTTATCACAGTGACCCTAGAAGCCCTCAAAGATGTTGGATTTAAAGAATTTAATCTACAAGCTCGAGAAACAGGAGGAGATGTTCCTGTTGGTACTTTCAAAATTACAGATCCAAACACAAAAGGCTTGGAATGTCATAACATCACGGTATGTGTTCGCTCTTGGCAAAAGTTTTAATGGAGAAAGACTCATGAAAACCAAACATAAGAACTATCTGACAATAAATAGAAGGAAAATTAGAAGGACATCAGCATTACCTCATGTAGTAAAGACAGTTACCCAAGTATAGATAAAAATCACTTTTCTCTTATATAATTATAATTTCTTTTTAATTGCAGAATTCAGCAGTAAGTCATGCAAATTCTGATCTGAAGCAGAAAATTACAACAACATGGATTGCTCCAAATGATGTTAAAGAACTTCAGTTCATGTAAATAATATTTCTTTTTCTTTGCCTTTAAAATTCATTTCTATGTGGATTCTGACATCCTTTTTTTGTCACAGGCATTTTTGTTCCATAGTTTGTCATAAGTGTTCTGGAAAATGATTCCATTCTTTTCAAACTTCTCCATGGCTCTAAAAATTGATATAGATTGTTTTGACTGAGGGAGGAAAAAAAAGCATTTATTGCTATTTTATTCTGAAGATTTTTTGTTAAAAGATAAGTAAATAGCTTTATTTCCTTTGCAGTGCAACTGTTGTTCAAGATCTAGAGAAATTTTGGGTTGGAATTGAAAGCAAAACTCTCATATCCACGCATTCTAAGTCAATTAATGGGACAGGAAAAAGTAAAAGGAAGGTAAGTTTTGAGTTCATTCACATACTAGAAATTTCTACAATCAGTTAAAATATCTCTGACTTGATGCCAGGTATACATTTGATGTCATGTGTTCATTAAGATGGCCGTAATCATCAGATGTTTTCAATGCTTTTAACTGCCTAATCCTCTTACTAAATTGACAAAAAATTTATAGTGAATAGTTCTATCTCCCATAGAAGCAAAGAAGCAAATAATCTAGTTATCAAAATAATACACGTCGCAGAGAAAAAGGAAAGGTGGTGATAAAAAGGACTCTGCTTTTCTTCTGCTTTTCTTTTGTTATATACATTCCTGCTGCCTCTGTTCCTGGAACTATAGCCATAAATAAATATTATTATAAATTTATTTGCTCATTTATTTATTATGGACCAGGAATTGTTTATATTATGCATCTTAAACAAGATAAGCAGCTTAAGTAAACAAAATATTTTCAAATCTGTAATGTTGGTCTTGACTGGAGCAGCCCTGATTTATGTCATCTTATGATTTAACTCTGCCTGAACACTTATCCTATTATCTTTTGCTTCACCAAATGTTAGTTCAGATAATCTTTTTTTTCCTTAACTTGTAACTGTTTCCTCTTTTTTCCTTTTTTTTTTTTTTCCCAGCTAATGATAGAAATTGAATGCAGCAAGGTAAGAACAAAGTATTTACAATTTCACAGATTTCCGTTACCTCAGTTTTGGGATTCCTGTCTTGTTGGTCCAGTTATTTCATAGTTGCAGCATAAAGGTTTTATCATAGTATCCAAATTATTTTCCTAGAGAGAACTTTACATTTTTGTACTTAATTTTGGAACTATTTTAGTGAGATAATGTTAAATATCAAATGAGATAATTACAACAGGTAAGGTATTATAAGCAATCAAGAACTGACTCAGGCCACAAATGTGAATTCTGTTTAGTTTCTTTTTAGAAATCACTTGGTATTTGTAAAAGAATCATCAAACAGTAACTTGAACCTGTAATTTCTTACAGCGTGGAGGGACGTACACCAGGCAAGGTGGATGTGTTGTGGTAGGTATTATTTTTGTAAAGATATCAATATACTGCTACTTGTTTAAAAAAAAAACACAATTGTGTGCAGGGATGTGTGTGTATATACTTATATATATGTATATATATATAAACCTAGACAAAAGCTGCTTCTCATCGCATCTTTATCCCTTGGTAGTTTAATTTATTTTTGCCCTATCTTGATTGTTGTACTACTTCTTTGTTTATGCATCTTTTTACTATTGTTTATTTTAATGGCTCTAAAGCATCATACTCTTCAAATCATCATATAGATATATACAACCTATTTGATTTTTTCCCCTGAAAATTGTCATTCAGCTCAGTGCAAAAACCTCTTTCACTTCTTTCCCTCCTCACACAAAACATGCTCTGCATTTCGTAGTGTCTAATGATTATGTAGTCATATCACTAAAAAGTTTTCATTTGAATGTTGCATAATTTGACACTAATGATCTTACCACTTGAGACCTGCTTCTCAATGATGGATATGCTGTATGAGGACAGGTTAAAAGAGAGGTGATGTGAGAGTGTTCTACGGCAAGCAGTAGAATTATATTAATTTATACCAATTGAATAGATTGGTTTTAAAGATCTCTGAAATCATTCTAATAGTATTGAAAGAATAAAGTCACAGTAAAACTACTTTGTGTTTTCTCCTTTTTCACTAGGTAGATCTTTCTTTCCTAAAAGTGATTTATATGAAAATCAATTTCCTTGAATGAAAGTAACATTTTGATTTCTTTACAGGTTCAACCTTCCGGTTCCTCTCAAAGCAGCTATTCTAGTGGTCAGGTAAGGATCCTAATTTCCAACGTACATTTTCCTTCAGTAACCTTGAACAAATAAAGTTTGAAAACACTACTGAGATGATAAAATGTCTCTGCTAGTTAAGAGAAGGCCGAAGTTGTTCTTCCAGTAAAATGTATGTGCAGTATCTGGACTAGGCTGCGCTGTGGAACTCAATAGTTTGCTGACAGCATTTTGACCTATTAGCTGTTTCACCACCTCTGATTTCAAGCATTAACCAAATTTACTGAGCATTAGCCTGACCCATGGGAGAAGGAAAAATTTCTTCCATATTTCTATAGGATTCCTACCTGTGCATATGCGTGTTCATCGAAATGCAAACTTTGAACATCCATATTTTAGAGACATCTGGTTTAATGAAAATGTACTCGTTTTTAATTGATTTGTTGGGCATTTTTCTAATTTCATATTTTGGTAATCAAAAGGAGCAATTGTACTTTCACAGTCTTCTCTACAATTTGCAAAATTTCTCAAAACTTTGTGAGATATTCATGTGTGTGTTAAAATGCCAGTATGATGTCTACATCACTTGTTTCACAGGTTTATATTCTCAGTTGAATGTTAAGGGATTTCATTGCCTGGTTAGCCTTTTAAAACTTCTGACATAAATACATCTGTATTCTTGCTGATCACTTGAATTTTTTTCAGTCAGATATATGTACAGTCAGATCAGGGTGATTGTGTTTTTACATTACATGCCTGTTTGTATTGTCAAATGCTTTCTGGTGTGTCTCTAAATTTCTTGAACTGAGCTTCCCAAGGATATATTTCTAACTACTTACCAGTAATTATATTTATTAGTGAATTATCTGTAAATTTGGCCATTTCCATTACTTGTAAGGGGAATTACCAGACTCGGAGAGATTACTTTGACTTATGTGCTAAATTTAGACTTTTCTTCATTGTGTTTCTTTCATTCATAATACGTTCTCTTTTCTAAAGGCTATTTTTTTCATGTTGTCATATAGCTGCCTGAAGTTATTATTTTTATTCTAAAATATGAGTTACTTAGTATAACACCCATGAACTTTGAAAGGCTGCCTGACCAATGACAGTGTTATATGAAATCCAGAAGATGGCTAATGTTTCATAATAAAATAAGTGTTCGAGACAGTTGTGATTGAACAGGTAACTCCTGCATTTCCTTGTCACACAGGACGAGATGTTTGTGCACATTTTCAGCTGCTTGGCTTTTTGTGCCATAAACATCAGGAGTTTTTCTGTTGTTTTTTCTTTTTTTTTTTTTTTTTTACCAAAATTTTTTGCCGCCTGCTTTTTTTTTTTTTTTTTTAATCATAGGAATAATTTACTCTTTGGTGTTTGTTGTTTTTTTCTTCAGAGTGGAACAGTCTACACAATAAGCAAGAGTGGATGTGTCCCAGTAAGAACTGTTCTCATATTTACTTTATTGTAGCCGATGTAACTATATTTATAGAAACTTAAATTATGTTATTTATGTAAGTATTCTTTAGAAATTTCTGTTTCAGGACGAAAATAATGGAGAAAGCTAGAAGAAAAGTGTTATGGTTTATTCAGTGGTATGAAGTAGTTGGGAAACTGGGATGTTACAAAGCTTTCTAGAAATGTATTGCTTTTAGGGGAAAAAAAGGACTGGAAGGGTTACGTTTTGCACTGAGGGGTTATTGTTTAGAACTGAAGTAATGCTCATCAGACAAGTTCTCTGTTTTCAGTAGACAAGACTGGTTGAAATTGGTCTGCACATTCTAAATTGTTCCTCTTCTTGGAATTCATGATACAGATATCTACAATAACTAAGGCCATTTCATCTCACGTGTGGCATGGGCACTTGTGAATTTATTAATTCTTTCAGAAATCAGTCAGAGATGGCAGAGTGCTGCAACATGTTGCTGAGCAGCTCAAACACTTCTCAGAAGCATTTGTATCGAGATGATGACTGTGGTCATACAGGCTAAAATATTTTTATGCCAAATAGTGGAAATTTTGATTTCCTTTCAGCATTTACAAAATAAGATCTTTATTTTTCAATTTTTCAAAGTGACTTTGTTCAAGTGTTTTCTCAATATATAAAAAAAAAAAAAAAAAAAAAAGGAAAAAACTTGAAAGGTAAATGAAATACTGAAATTAACTCTTTTTATGTCATTGACAGTTATTTCCTTGTTTATCATATTATGACCACTGTAGTTGTAATGCTAAGCACTCACAGTACAGTAGTTGAGACTGCTCAGCACCAATAAGGACAGTTTCCAAAAGTGTGAAACATTCATGTCATTAGTTCTTGTAAAACAAAATATGTTTTGGAGTGTTTTGGAGTTTTACAAAGGAAAAACAGAATTAAGTTTTGTGAGAGTTATTCCGTTTATTAATAATAGGAGACTTGCTTTATAATGGGAACTATTACTATATATGCTGGACCTTCTTATTTTTATATTTCATTGTCTCTGAATAAGGAAAGAGTTTCCTCTTCCTTATATTTAGTTTCAGATTCCTAATTTTCCCATCTCTCTGTAGGTATATATTACATGATCAATGTTTGAATTCCAAGCATTTTTTAAATCCTTACCATTTATTTCTATTAATTTCCCAATAGTGGGAGTTTTAAAATATTTCTTGAATTCCACTGTATGTTCCCTAATATGTAAAGTGATAGTGTGCCTTGCTGTTACCTATGATGTGTGGGTGTTCACACATTAACAGTATTAACTGTATTCTCCTTATCATCTGTTCCTTACAAATTCCATGTAAGGATCACTTAAAACTGAGATTGTCTGAAGGTAAGGTAGATATGGCAGAGAAATAACTGCTTGGTCTGTTTTCTCCCTAGGGAGGTGCTGCCAATGCGTATAGCCAGAATGCGTGTAAAGATGTAAGCTGCTTATAAGTTTACTTATTTTTACTTGTACTTTTTTGCTTATTTATTTACTAATTACTTATTACTATGCTTGTGCTTATTCACTCACCTCGTGATTGCGGATTGCAGTACATTTACTTATACGGAGGTAGATTATTTTTCCTAAACATATTAAAGAAAATGTTGGTGATCTCAGGTACTATTCTGAAACTCGTAGCAAGAATTAAAAGTATTGCACATTCACTGTCTCAATGAAATCTTGTTAGTCTACCAAAATTTTAGAATTCCTTCTTAGTTCTTAACGCGTGTCATCTATTAGTGCAAATCTGATCAGATATTGCATAGTAAGTCCTGTAATTTTTCTTAAATGATCTTTGTGTTTAAATCCAACAACTCTATATTTAGTAGGGATTTGAACATAATCAATGTCATTTCTTTCCTTCTCAGTTTAGGGAAAAAAGTATTTTTAACTCTTATTTTCTATTTTAAAAATAATGAAAGGATGTAAAGAGTCTGTCAGAAATATGATACATTTTATACTGCCTGTTTTGAAATGAAACCTTAGCTAAGAAAAACACACAATCACGTGCTTAACTTTAGGTGTAAGATTTGTTATATTAACTCTGGAATATTAAATTGTTATTATACTTATTAAATTATTATCTTTGTTTAATATGCAAGTATAAATAAATTTCATTTGTGATATAGTAACATTAATTTTGTGACTATTAGAATGCTTGAAAAACTTTACTGCTGTAATTGTCAAGCAATTTCAGAATAGTTTTGTGTTACCTTTGATTTGTTAAGTATTTAAAATTAAGTTCACTTGAAGTGTAAATACTCTAAGGAGAAAAGCAATGACTTCAGGATATAGTTAACCAATGATTGTGGAAATACAGAACTGATTTATGTTTTGTTTTCAGAGTGCATCCTCATATGGCAGTCTTACCTACGGCCAGGTAACTGTGCTCTCCAGCATGCTTTCATTGTCAGCATATTAAGCAGCTGCAGTCAACTTCTCCTGAATAATAATAAAATATATGGAAGGGAAAAAGGGTCTTCAAATAGTTACCTATTATATCTGGAAATGACTTCAATAAACGGTTTATACATTTAGAGTACACTGCAATATCATACCTGTTAGAAGATATTTACCTTTGTTTTGTGGCTTTACCTATGCAATTGTATTTGTGGTTTGATAAAATAGAAGAATTTGCACGTTATGTAATGCTCCATTTGAAACATTTGTATTCTTATGGTGTTTCCTATTTATACCAGCTTGTGTTTCAACAGTAGATTATTTTTTCAGTGGCTGTTTTATTGATTTTGCTTTTTTTCGATGAAGTTTAGTAAAACAGATTCATTTTTTTCTACCAGCAGTTATTTTTATTACCAAAAATCAGTTTAGTGTTTGAGAAAAGAAATAAAACAAGTGTCTTACTTCTGTTGTTCATTTGTCAGTTACCTGTACATTCTTATTTTCTTTCAAAATGTTATTTTGTTTAGGAATCTAGGAAAATACTGTAATCATCTGTAACATTCTTGTGCAAGATAGTGCTGTATTTAATTTGTCGAACAAACCTAAGCAAAATATGTCTTCCTGTATTCTTTACAGTCTGTTCCTGCAAGTAGTTCAGATTCCAGTAAGAAGGTAAGAGTGCCTTTTCTTTTTAATTCAAAAGAGAAAGAATTCATATGGTTGTAACTTGGCACGACTTCTTTATTTTTGTGGTACTATTAGAAATTTTTGATTTGTATGAGTGGAATCAGTTTGATTCTTCATTGCCATATGCTGCTTCTCTGTGCAGCAGTGCTTTTGTTGACAGTTGACTTACCTGTATCTAAAATGTTAAAATTTCACAATTTTTTGTAGATATTTTTTAATTTAAAAAATAGGGTTTTGATTGTGATGTAAATGGACCTTTTAAGGGTACAGATTTCTAATGATTTTTAAGGTAAGTCTGAGAAAATGAGATCAATAAGAGTTCGTGTAATTGTCTCTTAATATTTACATAGACTATTCCTCTCAGTCCATTCCCCAGAAAGCTCAGAGCTACGACCAACATACACTGTGACCATTTGTCTTCACAGTTAATTTCGTTGCATTTAAATTTCCTCTTCCTTTCAAACTGTACTGATATTCTTTGATAATTTACATTTCAAGAAATTCTGCCTCCTTTATGTTAGAATTCTTGTGATAACATCAGCTCTTCCTTTCTACACCACTGGATGATACTGTTTTCAGTTAAAAAAAGAAAAGCTTCTGATTGGAAAACATGAATACCTAAGCCAAAGGCACTACTTTTGCATTCAAAGTTATTAAAAAAATGAAGCCAATATTACTCCTGTAGTGGAACACTGAATATAACTGGATTGGTCTTCCACCTCTTGGTGGACAGTAAAAAGCATCATATATGTGTGTATAAGCCAGTGGCTGTAGTACATTACAGCCTTTACAGCTGAGTCACTGTCTGAATGGAAGCAAATCTCCGTATGCTCCGTATGTGTATACATTCTTCTTTCATTGCTAGTGTACATTAAGAATTTTTGTTAAAAACAGTAATACTTTGTGAAGGTGATCATCCATAGTGCTGTTATCTATGCTTGTAAATTTAGAGAATTCAGCATTTTTTGTTTTTCTAACGTATTTAAAGAAAGCCTGTGATGAGTAAACAAACAGCTCTCTCCATTCTGTCTGCAGATAGTGGTCATCCCCAACAGCAACCCATTTCCGCCTGTGGTAAGCAGTTTCTCTCTACCACTCTCAAAGCTTTGACTCAAAAAGCATTTAAGTAGCTTCATGTTTTAATTTGTCAGAAAGATTTCTCATGCATATGGAGACAAATCTTTCTCACACAGGGTTTAATCCTAGGATCATAATTACTTCTGGGGAAAGACAATAGAGAGATAGTAACTGCATCTACATGATACGACAGGCCGAGTGTTTGACCTGAGTCATGATTCTATGATTGCTTTTACCACTTCCAGAGATATTTGATTAAGTTCAGATTCCATGTGTCTTGATATATATAATATCCATGTTTCTGAGTAGTTTTGATTTTCTGCTTCTACTGCAATTTTTTTTTTTTTTTGTAAATTCACTTCTATTCTTATTTTTAAAGTAGTGAATTTCCATTTCACTTACTGGCTCATAATCAGCCAAAAGAAAGTTTTTCTTTAATGTGGTTAAAGTGAGTTTGTATGTCAAAATTGATACGTATGTGTGGTTTTTTTTCATCTGTCCTCTTCCTACTCAAACTTGTTCCAACCTGAATGAATATTAAAATCAATTGCTAATCAATTATCCTTCCTATATCTTTCTTCCACATTTGGTCGTGTATTGCACCGAAAAGACAGGGCCCTTTTTGTGCTGTAAAATCTTGCTTAGACAAGCCTTTGTGCAGAATACTTAAAGATTTTTGTTTTCATTTGCAGCGTCATACTTATCCCCAGGTAAGCATACTTTTCTTTTTTTTAAATGATTTCTCTAATGGTGACATATGCCTTGTGGGGTCAAACCTGTTACTTTGAAATGGTGTCTACTACCCATTTAAGTTTGTCCCTCATAACTCAAAACTGATCACAGTAATTGACTTAGAAACTGAATTCAGGTATGTGTTGATGTACAGGTGATTGTGAGGTATTTGATTGGTGATGATGTCTCAGCTTCACTCACCCAATTTGGAAAAACTGTGCTAACTGGTACTGCAAAAACCTGTAGCCTGTGCTCTTTCAAGAGTTCTTTTAGAAGGAGATTTAGGCATAGGAAATTATTTCAGTAGTGTGGGGCTCCTTCCCCTTCTGAGCTGAGGATAAACTAGTTTATCTAGTTTTTAAACTAGTTTAGTACTGGGTTTTCAGAATACAATGCTTAATACATTATATGTGCTCCCCTTTCCTTTATTATCCCAAGCAAAGTAGTAGAACTGGAAATTTTCTGTTTAACAAATCAAATTTCTTTTCTTTCCTGTTCTGTTTTACAGAGTTTGGGCAATTCTGCTACTAGGATCATAGTACAGGTAGATGTTCTTTCTGCATGGTCTTTGTGCTTTATCTCAAGCTCTGCCTCAGTAAACTATGCAATGACTCATGTATTTGGGGATAAATGAGTATGAATATCTTAAATCAATGGTACACAAACTACAGTGATAAAGTAGATGTGTTTCTGCACTTAAAAAAAAGTGATTGTACTTTTTGGTTGTTAATTAACAGTCATTGCAACTGTGTTCTGTAAGTACAAAACATGAAAAAAAAAACTCTGTATTATAATTTCCCAGAACTACCACAAAATGACATAATGTATTATATAAATAATTGTCATCGTGAAGTATCTTTGTATGCCAAAGTATTTATCACTGTGGCACATTGAGATGGCATAAATAAAGCAAGGAAAGACATAAACTCACTCAAACTGACCTGTAGGTTTAAAAATAGTGTCTTAGTCATGGTACATAAGCAATTCCTCTTTAAAATGAATGACATTATTTTTTGTCCTGTATAGAGTGGGCAAAGGCAGCAAAGCAGCGGTGCTACTTATGTTCAGGTAAGTGAGATTGAAAAGGAGTAGAAATATGCCTCTAGATTTCACTAAAATAGGCTCAGAATAATGATATCTTCCTACACACATATATAAATGTATTTCACAGGTTGCAGGTACTTAAGTTGCTTTGGGTTTTGGTTTTCTTTTTTTTTGGCTGTAGTTATTGATTTAGCCCCTTTTGGTTAAAATATTCATAAATGTATTTCTGTATGTCATTAGTTGAAGTGAAATGACTGTTCATCACAATGTGTCCTTTAAAATCTGTAGAAAAGTCATAATACCATGTCAGAAGTGTTTCTAGGCTCAGCATTGCAAGAAGAATCCTATACTGGTAGATGCAGACCCCATGTATATTAGACCACAAATCTCCATAAGTTGTGAAGGGTGAAGAATGATAGTGAATCATAACTCCATACTTATGTGCAACAAGGTATTTCAGCCTTACTTCAAGCTACTCATAGGAAGAATAAATGGGTTAAAATATTAACACAATGATAAAAAAAAACTTGATTGTGGAGTAATGGATGAGAATATTCTTGATGTCAACAAAAGGTTGAAGTATTCCAATTTCTTGGGCAGTGGTGGTGAGGGAGGACAGGGAGGGAAAAAATTGTCAGGATTATCTATACCATTGCAAGTAGTGAGAAGTTTGACCAAGGATAGCTCTGACTTCTGGAGCTCAGTGCCACAGACATCACAGATAGCACAACCATAAGGCTATCTTAGTGTGGGACAGGCCCCCCAATTTTGCTAAAGCAGAATGGTCTCTTATGAAAGGATACTAACCAAATGGTTTCCTTGTGCTAGGGTGGGCCAACCTACACTATCAGCAGCAGTTCGTACGGACAGGTAAGCAAACTGCATGTGTTCTCTAAAGTTCTTCGCTGATCTCTCTGTGATCAGTGGCACTGACAGATTCTTCAGTGTTTCCTTTGGCAGTCCCAGTTTGAGTTATGGCTTTTGCCATAGTAGGATGATACATAGCAGGGTTGATAGCGTACTATTCTGTCTCCTTTGGCTCAGGAGGAGCCTTGTTGGGAAACCTTTGTCCAGCTGTATTTGCGTAATCATTAAGCACTTTATAAAAGCCTTATAAAACAATGACGTTCTTGGACAAGGTGGTCATTTTCTGCTCTTTCTTAAAGGGTTCCCGAGGCAGCCAGTCCTATGGCCAGGTGAGGCTTTTTTTCTGAAATATATTGAACTTTTCTATAGGGATCTGCCTTTCAAAAGAACATTCGTTGTTTGTTGGTCAGAGCGTTTTTTTTTCTTTTGTTTGTTTGCAAACTTGCTTGTTTTTTCCTTCTTGGTATTTCAGGGTAGTTCCTGGTTTTTGGTCATCTCATAGGATTACCATATAGGAAAACAGAATATAGAACGGAGAAAATCTATTGGGCAATGTTTTTATTTTTTTTTGCCATAGCTTTGCTAAATCTATAGCTTTACTTACAAATGGATTCTTGCTTTTGTTACAGATCTCTCGGCTTCAACCTGGCAGTTCTTATGGCCAGGTAAGAATTAGTCAGTATATAGCATTTGAGAAAGCAGTGTCTCAGGCACTGCAGAACTTAAAATCACTTCAAATGATGTTTCTGCTCTGTTTGAGTTCTAAAACAAATCTCCAAATCCATTTCAAAACTTTTATTGCAAAAATGATAGTTGTATTTTTTTCAGTAGATATCTGCAAAAGCATGAGTTCCTGTCTCCTTTTTTAAAAAGGACATGAAATTTGAAAATTTATGGTAGAAATATTTTCCTCGGTGCTGTTTCTCTTCCAGTTGATTGATATGGTAAAACAAACTTATAGTCAGTTCTTCATTGTCTGCTTCAATCACATAACAAAGTGTTTAAGTGTTTAAGGAGTTAAAAAAAATATTGGTTGAGGTTCTCCACTGCAGGCAGACTTGATCTTATAGTCTTCAGCTCTAAGATATGTCCTTTTATTGTTAATATGTGAATTAAAGCATTGTAAAGTAGATATAAATTTTCCTACAATTTATGTCAAAGTAGAAGAAATATAGAAGGTGATTCAAATCTTTTTTGTCAGTTCTTGTCTTCGTAACTCTCCCAGACAGCTGTGGAACAGCTGTGCTCGTGTATGAAACATTTCCTCTTTTATGACACTGTATTGAAGGTAGATTACGTGAGCAGCTAATAATTATTTGGTGTCTTTGTTACTAAAAGTTTTTTATAGGATATTAGCAGCCTTGACTAATTTCTTTGACCTGCTACTTTTATTACATCATTTTGTTTTTTTTTATATTAATCTATATTTTTAATGGAATTTTTGGTAATTCCAAATATGCCACCTTCATTTCCCAAAAAGGAAGGGAATTATACAACAGAGCCCCATCAAAAATCCGAACGTGTCAGCATTGCGGCTACCATTGGCCATCTAAGAAAAGCTTCTGAGAATCAACAGGCAAAAGAAACATCCAGAAAGTGTTGCACCCTTTAAACGTCCTGAAAAGATTCCACAAGCCTAGCACCTCATCTGAGATGTAAAACTAATCTGTGATTGTTGTTATATATGTAAAGTATGCTGGGAAATTAATCCTGAATAACATACATCAAAATAATTCTAGTTCAGAAACAGTAAATTCTGTCTTATTCTTTTCCTTTTTCATAGAAGAGATAAAAGTGAAAGATGCATCTACCTCACAAATAAAATAATTTTGAATTGATTTCTTTAATTACAGGTCTTCCAGCCGCAAGGAAGTACTTCCTATGGCCAGGTAAGCATAGACAATCATCAGCCAGTATACAGTATCTAAGACAGTTGAGTTCTATGGCACTGCAAAAGCATTACCAATCACTCAGAATTTCAACTTTTTCTCTGATAGTGTGTTCTTACGTTTATAAATTATCTACATGCTATTTATTTGTATGGAATTCTGGCATCTGAAATCATCTCATTCAGCATCATTGTGCTGGTCAAGCTGAACAGTAAGAAAAAAATTCACAGGCAGTGGAAACAAGGACAGATATTGTGGAAAGAGTGTAAGGAAGCTGCTAGGCTGTTTAGGGGTAGGGTCAGGAAAGCCAAGACCTACCTTGAACTGAGCTTCGCTAGGGATGCCAAAAAGAACAAGGAAGGCTTCTACAGGTGCCTCAATTAGAAAAGGAAAGTCCAGGAAGTTGTATTCCCCCCAGTGAGTGGCACAGACAGGCTGGTAACAACAGACAAGGAAAAGGCTGATGTACTTAACAACTTTTTTGCCTCCGTTTTCCTCGATGACTGCTTGTCACATGGCCCTCAAACATTTGGTGTGGTTGGAGGAGATTGGGGAAGTAACGTTCCCTCCCACTGTAAGTGAAGATCAGGTTCATGACCACCAGAGGAATCTGAACATCCACAGGGCTATGGGTCCCAGTGAGATGCATTGCAGAGTCCTAGGGGAATTGGCTAATGTGGTTGTCAAGCCGCTCTTTATGACTTTTAAAAAAGCATGGGAAATGAGTGAAGTCCCTAGTGACTGGAAAAATGGAAGCAGCATACCCATTTCTAAAAAGGGTAAAAAATATGACCCTGGGTACTACTGACCTGTCAGTCTCACCTCTGTGCTGGGGAAGATCATGGAACAGATCCTCCTGGAAGCTATGCTAAGGCACATGGAAGGTAGGGAGGTGATACAGGAGAACCAGCATGGCTTCACCAAGGACAAATCCTGTTTGATCAATCTGAGTGGCCTTCTATGATGGTGTCACTGCTTTAAAGGACAGGGGAAGAGCCACTGTTGTCATTTGTCTCAACTTCAATAAGGCCTTTGACACAGTACCCTACAACATCTTTCTCTCCAAATTGGAAAGATATGGACTTGATGGATGGACTATTTGATGTCCGAAGGACTAACTGAAGGAATGAGTCCAGAGAGAGTTGGTTGATGGCTCCATGTCTGGATGGAGACTGATGATGTGTGGTATCCCCCAGGGGTTGCTGCTGGGGCCAGAACTGTTTAATATCTCCATCAGCATCATCGACAATGGGGTTGAGTGCACACACCACAGGTTTGCTGATGATACCAAGTTGTGGGGTGCAGTCAACACACCAGAGGGATGGGTTGCCATTCAGAGCGACCTAGGCTGACTTAAGCAGTGGGCCCAGGTGAACCTCCTGAGGTTCAACAAATCTGAATACAAGCACCTGGCTCAAGACAACCCCCATTACCAGTATATACTGTGGATGAAAGGATTGAGAGCAGCCCTGCTAAAAAAGACCTGGGGGTAATGGTGTATGGAAAGCTGACATGAGCCAGCAATGTGCCCTGATAGCGCAGAAAGCCATCCAGGACTGCATCAAAAGATGTATGATCAGCAGGTCAGGGGAGGTGATCCTGCCCTTCTACTCTGGGTTGGTGTGGCCTCACCTGGAGTACTGCATCCAGATGTGGAGTCCTCAGTACAGTAGAGATATAGATCTGTTGGAGTGCATATAGAAAAAGACCACAAAAGTGATCCATGGAATGGAACAACTCTCCTGTGAGAACAAGCTGAGAGAGCTGGGGCTCTTCAGCCTGGAGAAGAGAAAGCTGCCAGATGACTTGGTAGCAGCCTTTCAGTATCTAAAGGGGAGCTACAGAAAAATAGTAGATAGGCTCTTTAGCAGGGTCTGTGGTGATAGAACAAGAGGAAATGCCTTCAAGCTCAGGGAGGGTAGATGTAGGTTAAATATAAGGGAAAAAATCTTTTACAAGAAGCATGGTGAAGGACTGGAACAGGTTACCTAGTGTTGTGGTTGATGTCCTGTCCCTGGAAACTTTCAAGGCATGGCTGGATGAGGCTCTGGGAAACCTGGTCTAGCTGTGGTGTCCTTGTTTGTTGCAGGAGAGTAGGACTAGATGGCCTTCAGAGGTCACTTCCAACTCTAATGATTCTATGATTCTATGATTCTATGATTGTGATGTCCAGGAGGAAGTCGTGGCTCTTCATTCTGCCCTGCACTGGTTTAGGATGTAGCTATTTGCTTTTGCTAAAGCAGAATGGTCTCTTATGAAAGGATACTAACCAAATGGTTTCCTTGTGCTAGGGTGGGCCAACCTACACTATCAGCAGCAGTTCGTACGGACAGGTAAGCAAACTGCATGTGTTCTCTAACGTTCTTCACTGACCTCTCTTGTGATCAGTGGCACTGACAGATTCTTCAGTGTTTCCTTTGGCAGTCCCAGTTTGAGTTATGGCTTTTGCCATAGTAGGATGATACGTTGTAGGGGTGATAGTATACTACTCTGTCTCCTTTGGCTCAGGAGGAGCTTTGTTGGGAAACCTTTGTCCAGCTGTATTTGCGTAATCATTAAGCACTTTATAAAAGCCTTATAAAACAATGACGTTCTTGGACAAGGTGGTCATTTTCTACTCTTTCTTAAAGGGTTCCCGAGGCAGCCAGTCCTATGGCCAGGTGAGGCTTTTTTTCTGAAATATATTGAACTTTTCTATAGGGATCTGCCTTTCAAAAGAACATTCGTTGTTTGTTGGCTTGAGGTTTGTGTGTGTGTGTGTGTGTGTGTGTGTGTGTGTGTGTAATTTGTTTGTTTATTTAGTTTTGGTTTTATTCCTCGTCAGTGTTGCAAGATATTCCCAGTTTTTTGGTCATCCCAAGATACCACATAGTAAAAAGTACACAGCTTTTCTGTGTGGTTTGAAGAGTACAGCTTAGTTTATTAATGGGTTTTTGCTTTTTTTACAGGTCTATCAGCCACAAGGTGGCACCTCCTATGGACAGGTAAGTAGCAATTAATTACTGGCCAGGATACAGCATTTGTGAAGTGAAGTGCCATGGCTCTGCAAAAGCATTTAGCTGTCATTCAGAATATGTAATTTAAAGGAAATTTTCTTCTTGAGTGTAAAGTTCATTTTCATATAATAGTTACATTGCACTGAAATGTAATGCATACATGTGTTGTCCTCATATGTACATTGAGATTTTCATGAGGTTTGTTTCTTGAAGTAACAGACTAAGTTGTCATTAGAAGTGAGATTTTTTTTTTTAATATGGGTCTGGGAACAACAGGCTCAACAGTAACTACAGAAAGACTAAGGTCTTTCTCACATAGAAAGGAGTACCTGTAGTCATCTTACCTTCACAAGATTTTACAAGGAAATTCACAGCAGTTCATAGCTAGTCTTCATTCTTTTAAGCAGACAGACAGCTGAATTACTTTTAAAATTTATTTCTTTATTTAAAATGAGGAAAAATTATATTTGAATTACTGAGGTGTTTTGTGTTTTTTTTTCTCCCCAGCAGAGTGGGTCTTCTTCAGATGGCAGTGGAGGTTGTGGACAAGTAAGTGCCCTTTCTCCAAGGTGTTTCAAAACTAGACTCTGCTTTCTATATATTAGTAACATTTTTCAAGAAACTGTATAATGTCTGTTAGTAGGAGTCTTTTGCTTTTGCTGGTACATGAAAATATCTTAAAATATTAGAGGTCTACAAGAGATAAGATTTGTTGATCATTGTAACCAAAATGAAGTGGCTTCTCCTATATACAAGTACATTCAAGATGAACAAGTAGAAGAACATTTGCCTACTGAGCAGGCAGATGTAACTGTTTTAGAGTGAGTTTTGGATGTTTCTCTATGTAGGATGAAATAGGTAAAGAAGGTGACTCGTTAGGTCAGTAGTTGATATCCTGGTTTCATTTCAACTCGTATTCTTACAGCAGTGTAAAGTCTGTTACCAGTGATAAGATCCTAGGTGAAGAACAGGGAATGGATGCAGCCTTGACAGTAAATTGAAGTCCAGATGAATACATTGAGGAAAGCAGTGAGACTAGTAGAGATAAGTACTGAAACCTCTAGCAAAAGTATTAAGATTAGAACAACTAAAATATGAATGGAAATGCATGGATGAAAGCATAAGAAGCAATACAAGAGTACTGGTGATATGTATCAGTGGGCAAGGATACAGTAACAGCAATGAAATTGAAGAAATGTGAAGAAACACTGAAGAAAGTGTTGCTTCCACTAAAGCTGAATCACAGATGACTTAGCAGAAAAGCTGTGCTTTTAGTAACGGGAGGGCAGCAACCAGAGTAGAACACATTGTACTGCTTCACACCTTGCAATTCCGAGAAGGATGCATGCAGCCAAAACACACCCAAAACAGGGAAATGAAAGGCAGTAGCTTTACCTAAGGTCTATAATGAGTGAATCTAGAAAGATTCTGGGGTAGGGGGTCACACAGCATTGACTGTTGGCTCCTAAACGGATTACCCAATGTAATCTTTGATGTTAATATTTGCCAATCAAGAAGAACTTAGATAAGTTAACAGAAGCATCAGTCAAAAAACTACCTCATTTTTCCACATTGCAACCAAATAATCCTGCTTTCATTATCTGTGTTTTGATGCTTATAAGTAGGTGGATATGGAATAGAAAGAGGATAGAGCCACTGACTGAGTGGGTTAAATAAAATTAAACTCATTAAACTCCGTTAACTTTTTGTTTTGTTAGGAACTTTAACAAGAAAGCTACTTTTCTTTTTTTTTTTTTGACAGAGTACTTCGTATGATAGCAATCCCTGCCACCAGGTAAATAGACTTCTTCCTCTAATTTTAAATCATATCCAAAATTAGTTTTGCTGCTGACTCAGCTGGTACTGACCTCAGATTCATGGAGTGCAAATCCATGCAATCTTTACTAACTGTGGGATTAGAGCTGGCTTTCTATACACGGGAGCACCACAGGAACTTCGTGTCCGTTTTCCTATCCCCTTCTTTTTTCTTTTTCCCCTAACATTATGTCTGAATCAACTTCAGAGCTGCTCGCGACATTATGTAAATGAAGGATGAAGCTCATAGTTCTGAGAACACATTTTAGAAGTGCCATTTGAATTTTGTGAGAGTACTTCAACTCTTCACTGATTTTGTGCAGTGAGATATTGGTAGATAGTGTGTATTTGTTATGATTTTTTACTGCTGGAACACCAAAAATCACTATCCTGTAAGATTTCTTTCATTTTCGAGAAGTCATTTATGTGAACGCTAAAAATCTGTAATAAAAACCAATATTTTTTTAATTCCTTTTTTATTTATAAATTTTTTATAAGAATTTTTCAAACTTTTTTATAAAGAGAAGTTATTTATTTCTAAAACTAAAGTAATTGCTTAAATTTTGTGCCTTCTAAAAATTGCTAGACATTGAAATATAGAACTTCTTTGGTTTGCTTCCTCTTGCTTTTTCTCGATGAAGTCTCAGCCCCATTTTACCAAATGGCAAATATTCTACTTACATTTCTTACTTCACTTTGAGAAGTTATATCCCTTTTTAAAGGGGTTATGTTGAAACATACAGAGTGTTTTATTTAAATCCTTTTCCTCAAAGCCCCTATATCTTGAAGTTTCCTATGTACTAATGCTGTCAGAGGAATTTTTTATTTCATACATGTAAATAAGTTTTTCTACAGGAGAAGAAAATATTGCATTCTCTAGAAACTGTTCTGAATGAAACATACCACTAGTAGGAATTAACTAAGAACACGTTTGTGCTACCTTGCCATGTGTCTCATGGTGTACTTACTTTTGCAGTCTTAACAATCCATGCTTACTAAGTTAGAAATCATACCTTCATTGCATATTTGCCTATGCTTTTTCTTCCTCTGAAAGAAAAAATATTATAAGTTTCATTAAATCTGTAGTCAAACAATAAGTGTAAAAATTATGCATAATTTTTTGTTTAATTTACAGGATGGATCTCAGAGTGGTAGCCAGGTAGGCTGCTTCCTATTATCCACTGATCAAAACTGTCTAATAAGTTCTAATCCATAGTATAATTTTGTTATTTATGAGGGTGTAGATTATTGCATAACCTCCCCATCTCCTTTAATTAATCCCCAGTGCTTTATATCAACACTGAAACTTACATAGAAAGGACTCTATAACCTCATAAAGCTAACTCTGCATTGTTACATGGTTCAGCTCTACAAGTGTAATATCTGTTGCTGCATTGTTTTCATAGGGTGGATCATACTCCTCACAAAGCTATGATGGTAGCCAAGTAAGTACTAGGTTATTATTTCTTCTCAATGAGGCTTTATTTCACACAGATCCCATAAGCTCTGATCAATGTTGTATCTGTATAATGTTGTAATACTCAAATTTTGTTGTTGTTGGCAGGGTGGATCATCATCCTCACAAAATTATGGTGGCAACCAGGTAGGAAGAAATTGATTTTCCTTATGTCAAAAGTTGTAATCATATCTGATAAGAAATTTTTGCCAGATTTGTTCTGCATTCTTAAGTGGCTGTTCTGTACCATGCTTGATTAAAATGCTGGAATTGCAGTTACTGTCATCTAGAAAGTTGTAACTGTTTAAAATAATCTCCAGCAATTGTTTATTATAGCTTTACAATCCCCAAATGAAATCACAATTTCTTCTGACGTTAGTTTTGCATTTGTTATTTTAAAGGGAGGATCACAAAGCTATGGTAGTGGCCAAGTAGTGCTTTATTTTACCAATTACAAATTGCGTCCTACAGGTTTTAGCCTCTTCATGAAATCAGGTTTTCTGTATCCTAATATTCTCTGATTTTGATTGGTTGGTTTGTTTTAAAGGGTGGATCGTATTCACAAAACTATGGTGGCAGCCAAGTAAGTAGTGTTTTATTTCACCAATTACAAATTATTTCCTATGAGCTTAAGCTTCTTCTCAAAAGCAAGTTTTCTGTATCCTAATATTCTCTGGTGTTGATTGATTGGTTTATTTTAAAGGGTGGGTCTTCCTCACAAAACTGTGGTGGTGGCCAAGTAAATAACACTTTATTTCACCAATTACACGTCACTTCCTACAAGCTTTAGCCTCTGCTCAAAAATGGGTTTTCTGTATCGCAATGTTCTCTGATTTTAGTTGGTTTGTTTGCTTTAAAGGGTGGATCATACTCACAAAACTATGGTAGTGGCAAAGTGAGTGAATGCTTCGTTTTTCTATTTATATATTGCATCCTACAAGCTTTGGCCTCTGCTCAAATTGAGGTTTCTGTATATTTGTTTTCTCTGAACTTGGTTGTTGCTTTATTTTAAAGGGTGAATCATACTCACAAAACTATGGTGGTGGCAAAGTAAGTGAACGTTATATTTCTATACTTACATATCGCATCCTACCAGCTTTAGCCTCTGCTTAAATTTTTTTTTAAATTATTGTAACTTTCTCTGATGTTTGTTGGTTGGTTTATTTTAAAGGGTGGATCATATTCACAAAACTATGGTGGTGGCCAAGTAAGTTATGCTTTATTTCCTTACTTACACATCACATTCTACAAGCTTCAGCCTATGCTCAAAATCATGTTTCCTGTATCCTAATGATCTCTGATGCTGGTTGGTTGTTTCCTTTTTTTTTTTCCTGTTGTTTTTATTTTATTGTTTTTTTTTTTGCTTTTGTTTTTAAAGGGTGGATCATACTCACAGAACTACGGTGGTGGCCAAGTAAGTAGTGCTTTATTTCACCAATTACACACTACTTCCTACAAGCTTTAGCTTCTGCTTAAAATTGTTTTGTATTTTTCTCTGTAATGTAACTTTCTCTCATGTTTGTCGGTTGGTTTGCTTTAAAGGGTGGATCATCTTCTCAAAACTATGGTGGCAGTCAGGTAAGTTACTTTACTTCCATACTTATAAATCACATCCTACAAGCTTTAGCCGCTGCTAAAAACTAGATTTTCTGTATCATTATTTTCTCTGATTTTTATTGGTTAATTTTAAAGGGTGGATCATACTCACAAAACTATGGTGGTGGCCAAGTAAGTATCGCTTTATTTCTCTTTTTATACATCAGTCCTTACAAACTTGAGCTTCTGCTCGAAATTGGGTTTTCTGTAACCTAGTTTTCTCTGATGTTTTTTGTTTCATATGTTTTAAAGGGTGGATCATCCTCCTCCGACAGCTATTATGATAGTCAGGTAACTACTTCTTTCTTTCTTCTTATGTATTATTTCGTGCAGATTTTTGTAGATCCTACTTTATTGTGTCATCTTCTCTTAGATCTAATAAAGTGCAATAATTTCTATGCTCTTCTTATTTCTTTCTCATTTTTCTTCTTCTGAAGAGTGGAATGTTCCCTGTCAGCAACTATTACAACCATGTACTTGGCCATTTTTCTTATTAGAAACTTTAACTCAGCAAGCAGTTTTTTGTTCTCATGAGCCTCGATTCTGTCTTGCTGAGTGCAAGATCAAATATCTTTTTAACTATCCATTTTACTGAGGAAATAACTGGATATCTGATGTCAATGTAGGATTCCCAGGATTTCTCAGATGATAATCCCAATGCCTGTGATGATGTGAGTATGCTTTCTCTAATATATTGCACTATGAGATGCAGTCTTGTGAACAGATTTACTGGAGGGAATATTTAGTCTTCGCATGGATAGCTGCTTTAGCAGCTGCATATTTTCTTACTGAAAACCTGTGCTTACTGATGCATTTTGTACTTTTAAATGCATTTACCTTAATGAAATGAATAAAATGATTTCCATTGCTTTGCACAGATGTTTTTTTTCCCAAAATGTAAGGATACACTTTACACTAATTAAACAACTATAAAAATAATTAAAAATTCCATAGACAAGTTTTGAATGCATATCTTGAAAGATGGAAAAGAGATGAAGAGACAACATGATTTTCACTTTCTATTACCAATTTAAGTTTAGTGCTAAATTATTTTAAGTCTGTACACAACATTAGAAATAATTGAGTTTTTGTGAGCTTGCTGTATTTAAATAATTGATCTTTCTCTTTTCCAGAATGACACTACATATAGTGCTAATAGTCGGGTAAGGGTTTTTCTTCATCTATGGTGTTGTTATTCTTGTGATTGAGGACAGTGTTAGTAACTGATCACTTCTACTTTGGATCTATGTGTCTCTACTTGTAGTGAATGATTAATTAACTTTATGAAGGGTATTATAAAAGCAATCAAGGAGTGAGATTGTTTGATGTTATATTTCTCTGTACTCAATTCCTTCTGTTAGTTCTCCAGGCTGCTGCACAATCGTCTAAAACTGCACAATACTTGTAAGAATGTACACTAGAGTTTTTATTAGGCCCTTCAGGATATAGCCCATTCAGCACTTTGACTGGATAGCTATTTTGGAATTAGCTATCTGTATATGCGAGACATGTCGCTGTCTCAATCTTTTGCCACTAGTTTTAATTTAAACTTGCATATATGATAGTCTTCTGGGATAATCCTTCTGTCTTGACTGTTCCTTCTGTCCTGCAAGCAGGAACAGTGACTTAAGTGGATAGATTGACCAAGCAATTATTTCATGCCTTCCGTTCATAGAAACTCATTTTTTCCTTTTTTAAAACTGCCATCTAAAGAAATCTTCTGTCATCATCTACTTTCCTTCTCTTCAGTTGTCAGCCATGTGCTCAACCGCTTCAGTCTTTTCCCTATTTTTCCTTTCTATTACATTAGTAATTTCTGATTTTGTTGCTGTTCAGGCAAATATACTCAAAACTGGAATTGCTCTTTGCTTTCCTGTGAACATGTTGAATGGAACCTGCTTTGGCAGGGGCAATGAACTAGTTTATCTTCAAAATCACTTCCAACCCCTACAATTCTGTGATTCTTCAAATATACTGAATTTAGTGGAGGAGGGACATGATGCCACACTAAAAACAGACTTTTCTATCTCACTGTTTATTAGGCATGCATTATGGTGCAGCTAGGTCTGAATTGAAACTGGTTGCAGAGGAAGAAATACACAGATGAGCTTTGCATTCCTATTTTTACAGTACAATGATTTTGGAAGATAAATGATGTTTTCCTCTCTTGCTCCAAAGCTAATCTACGAATGTTAAAGTTATTTGAAAATAAAACTGTCTGATACAAATATTTACCACTGTATCATCTATTGAAAATGAGGCCAACCAAAATGTCGTTTGCAAGGAAGACATTTTCCTTTCCCTAAATATGTTATTTTTGACATTTTTAGATAGAATCTTACAGAAAGTACTTTGTGGGGATATCTCCATCTATAAAACAATAAATAGCTTCTGATTTCATTGCAGAGTTCTAGCTGTGTGAAGAGGAAAGTTGTTGTCAGAGTAAGTAACTCTTTTCTTCCACTGCTTTGCAGGATTATTATCCAAATTATGCCTAATTTGTCATAATTATCACTATTTTTTTCCCAAATTGTGTTTGACCTAATTAATGTTCTTGTGTTTAAAGATAAACTAAAATAAAAGAGCTTGTCCATTTGCTCTTTTTGGGTGTCTTATTTTAAGGTGTGTGTGTGTGTACATGCCTATCATATATATAATATGAAAAAAATACCTGACATGGAAACTTGTTATGAGATACAGGGCAACTCAAATTTCTGTCCTTCAAGAAGCACATACAGAATTCCTCCGAGCTATGATTAGTTGAAATTAATGAGTTTTGCAAATAGAGGGCAGTCAAGACATAGCTGAAGATATAATAATGAAATAAAAACATAGTGCTTGGAAATTTCTTGTGCTTTCTGTTATATGAAGGACATACAGATACAGTATTATATACCTTCCAGTCGTATTGCAGTAGTCTACAAAAATAGAGCAAATTATCTTTTATAATAAGGCATTTCTACTCAATATGTGCATTAATGATCTGGAGTAATTATAAATAATGAGTACAGGAAAAAAAAAAGGCTTATGGCTAGGCTCTTAATATCAAATGTCTCTCTTCTTACAGGATACGTCACATGTTTTAAGCAGAAGAGACTATGATGTCCAGGTAACCATACTCATTACTTTTTATGAACTACTGCTGGTGTTACAGCTACTTTAGTGTACATACAAAAGAAGCATAAAAATTCAGCTTTTCTAACAGATTATTCTGTTTAGAGTTAGGTAGTTCTTTTCCAGTAGAACTGTGTATTTTACTTTATTACCCTCACTGAAAAATGAGTAATTTCTCATTACTTTACAGAATGAATCCTCTACTTCAAACAACAGCCACACTAACTACCAGGTAATAACAGTGTCTACTGCGTCATCTTATTGCAGGAATCTTCCTCATAAATTATATTTCAATTTCTGAAAATTGATTTCCACTAATTTATCTGTATTTGGCAATTTTTTTCCATACTGTTAGAATTTTACAGAAATGAATAATGATAAAGGGCCCAGAATATAACACCTTCTGTGTTCCTACACTTAATAAATAATTAATCCTTATGCAAAAAAAAAAGTTTCAAAATCTGATTTTTAGAAACAAAAACTAGTGAAGGATAATGGTCAGATATATATTCATGTTTCATCTGGAATTTGGTAACAAGATACATGTTGTGACTTCTGTTGCGAAAGTCTTCGTGTTTTGTAGTGCTATCTATCAGTTTCTTAGAGGTCTGTACTCCCGCTATGCCCAGCACCAAATAGATATAACATTAGCATAGTCCTTTGTTTCAAGGAGTTTAAGTTGATAATACTAAGATCCATGAGTTCCAATGAGTAGTACTTCTTTTTCATTAGTTTCCCTGGCATCCATTTGGTATGTATTTTACCCAGTCACTAAATAATTTATTTGTGAAATTTAATTGAGAAACATTAATATAAATATGAAAATTTACATTTTTGTAATGTTCCAAAGTTCTGAATGGATAATTTTGTTTAGTGTGGGGAAGTCATACAAAGGTTGTGGCCTTACATCTCACTGCAGTATTTTTAAGTCATTGAATTCTTTTCCTAGACATACTTCAGATCTGATGAAATGCTTCTATAAAAATGATTGTTTTCTTCACAGGGTGGATCGTTCATTGCAACTGGTGGTGGATCAAGTGGTCAGGTTAGATATTTCTCTATTGTTATCTGGTGTTGTCCAGATAGCTTCCTGGTAATTTAACTAATTAAACTCAGGAGTCAAAGCTTAAGTGCGCTAATTTTGCAATGGAACTTTGGTTATGTTACAGATTAAATTGTAAATTAAATGACCCTGTTTAGATTACATTTATTTGAAATGGCTCCATGAAATTGCTTTTTAACACTCTAAATTTCACACATGGCTTATCAGTAAATGAATGTTGGTACTCTTGACTTCCCAGATTGCTCTCTCTTGATGAAGCATCTAAAATTGAGATAGCACTGACAGATGTCATGTCAGTTTAACTTCTAAAGCTAACATTAAATATCTAAAACTATGCTGCCCTCTTATTCTTTTCGGTTGTAGGAAAGTCACAGTTACTTTGCAGTCCTCTGATCGTTCTTCCTCTAAATATAGTTTGGCATGTGAAGTAAGGCATCATTTCAAATTTCCATACATCAGCAACAGTTTCATTGTTTTTATTTATAGGGTGGTTGCATTTGTCCTGATGGAAGCAGTGGTGTTAGACAGGTGATTCTTTTTCCTTAACTTATACTTACATCTATATAATAGAATATTTTAAATTAATCACCTTGTAATTATGGACACAGGTAAAACCAATTATTGATGATTTCCTAAGGATAGATAGAATTATATACAATGAAATGTAACTTTTGTTATAAAAGTGGCTTTTACTTTAAGTATGTAATTACCATTTGGCCACTAACTTTTTTTATCTGTACTTTGTAATACAAATGCTGTCTGTTGGCTGCTACATGCTAATTTTACATTACTGTCAAAAAACCATGTCAGTATGTCCCATAGTAACCACATTAATCGCATTCAGATTAGATTCCTTGTACTTCTCACTTATCTAATAAAATATTGTGGAAAAAATGTCAAAAATTGATAAATATTTCAAATGTTCATCTCTTAAATCAATATTTGAAGCAATTCTTTCTCATAAAGAGAATCACTGCAACTTCATGTTCAGTGGCACTTGTCTCTCAGGCAGTGCCTCTGCGTCAGGAAAAGACTAGGAATTTAACCTAGGAATTAAATGGATATTATGGCTGAACTGGTTTCATAGTGCAGGTGAAGGTTCTTTGTCAGTGAAGTGTACTTTCAGCTCTTGTTCTCCAAATACAAGTGGAGCAGTATAAAACAAGTATTAAGAGGCAAAGAATAAGCACATTTTAATGAATTTTTTAAAATGAAATTTATTAAGGTTTAAATGTAAATTTTTTTTTATTTTTATTTTTTTTTCCTCCATGGGAAATAATGGTTTTTCTTATGTGGACTAGAAAATTTGTCATGCTGCAGTTATCCCGCTTTTTCTCCATAGTTTTTCTAAAGACAAGAACTTAGTCTACAAATTCTCTGAGGAAGCAGCCCAACCATAATTTTCTTGTCCGTTCAGCACATGAAGCAAGTGTATAAATAATAATAGATACAATGTACTGGTAAATAGTGTTTGTCATTTAAGTGGTGAGCTGAAAAATCTGATCAATATTCTGTTTACACTTCGGAAGCTAAATATATTAGCAAATACCAAAGACATGGTCAGGGCCATGATCTGTAACAGTGTAAAGTCTACCAGGTATAACATACTATTCTACAGGTAGAAAGACTTAGATGAAAAGGTATTACTTTTTACAGGTCATTTAACCTGAAAAGACCCAGGAACAGGTTTCTTCATTACTAATGAAAATTATCAGCCTTCTCTTTTAATAATTGCAGAAATGTTCCTTTGGAGAGAAAATATTTTGGAAGAAGAGAAACCAAGAATTAGACTCATTTACTTGAATGTCTGTTTGCAATAAAAATAACTTGTCTTTTTTTTTGTTTTTGTTATTTTCCCTTCAGGGAGCCCCTGGGTCTTCGTACAGCACATATTCTGGTAACCAGGTAAACATTCAGATTAAGCATCCAATTCAGAAGCTTTATATCAAACCTTTCCAAAAGCAGTAGCAAATATTAACCAGTACCCATTCTGTCCTCTTCTGCACAGGGGGGATCTTCCTTCTACCATGGAGGATCCTATGGACAGGTAGTTGTTCATCTAACCTTGTTAGGATAACCCAGATCCCCATTATTCTGATTTCTAGTCTACCAGTACCATGGGAGCTGCAGAATATCGTAATCACAGACCGGACAGGCTAAGTTGCATCAACCCTAAAGCACCTAGCAGTGTGAAGTTTGACAGAATAGTATGCAATACAGAACAGTATGTGCAGTTTCTTGCAGAAATCATATTTTATTAGGTTGCGAAAATTGCTGCCAGAAGATTTCTTCTATTTTAATAATATTGGTCTTAATTTTCATTTAGATACTAAAGATTAATTCAAAACTAGGAGAAAGGGTATAAAATGAAAGTCAGGTGCATTCATCTTGCCTGCAAGAAAATAGCTGGTCTGTTGTTTTCCTTTCAGGGAGGCCCAGGTTATTCCCACAGCTCTTATTCTGGAAACCAGGTAAACATTCTGGTTGCTGTACCAGCATGGGAGAAGTCTAAGCATCTTTACTGATCAGACATTTAAACTACAAAACAATAACTTAATGTTTTCTGTACAGGGAGGGTCTTCCTACTCTCCTGGTGGATCTTATGGACAGGTAAGATTTCTTCCTCATTTGTGAAGTCAACACAGACTCAGTATCTTCATTCCTATGCTCCCCATGTGTAGAGACTGTCAGGAAACACCCTACTTAATTCCCAACAAATTAATCAACCATAATGTAAACTACAACATGAAGTCTGCCAGGGAAAACAAAAACAACAACAACAACAGAAGCAAAACTAAATTGTGTTTAGAAATTCCTAAGAGTTGTCTCATTTTGCTGAGAATATTATTGCTATAAAGTTTCTTGTTCTTTAACAATTTTATCCTAAATTGAAGATCAGGTACATTTATTTGTAGCATCCTATTTGCAAGAAAATAGGTGGTCCATACTTTCTTTTCAGAGATTCCCAAGTTCTTCACACAGTGCATATTCTGGTAACCAGGTAAACATTCAGATTAAGCACCCTATCCGTCTCAGACCTTTCCGGAAGGAGTAGACAAACATAAACTAGTAACACATTCTGTCCTCTTCTGCACAGGGGGGATCTTCCTTCTACCATGGAGGATCCTATGGACAGGTAGTTGTTCATCTACCCTTGTTAGGATAACCCAGATCCCCATTATCTTGATTTCTAGACTACCAGTACCATGGGAGCTGCAGAATATCGTATTCACAGACCAGACAGTTGTCTTTTAGAGAGGCTAAGTT